TATATACATGTCTGAGCCAGCTACATGTGCTGATCAAGGCAGGAGCACAGACAGCTATGGACCTGTGCCTGCTGAGGTACCTTAGGAACCTGGCCCCCAGCAGATGATGCGCCAGCTTCTGAGAGGGGAGCCCAGCTTCCAAGTCTGCCCTGGAGGGACACAGTGTGAGCACTCCCCTAACCAAGCCTCCTCCCCCAATCTTGAACCCCAAGGTGATAAAACCCTCCTCTGGGATATCAGTCCCTCATGCTGGAAAGGCTACAGGACTCTGATTTAAGAAATAACCCTGATTTGAGCAAGCTCTCCATTCTCCTTTAGTTTTTCTTTTCTCTGAATTTTCACAAGTATCCCCTTTCATCTCAGCACAGGCCATGGGGCATGTCAAATACCAGCAGTGAGCTCAGCTCCTCTGTGTAGATCTCACATTGCTCAGGATGAGCCCTCAGGCTTCTCCCTCCCACCTCCTCAGCTGTCACAAGATCCTTTCCAGGAGGTACTGAAGATTGGTCACCTCCAGGATCACCCAATCCCATTCTCACCCACCTCTCAATGCTCCCTGGATATCGAAGGCAACAGTCCTGCTCTGTTCTCAAGTGGTAAAGCCTTTTCCTAAGCTCAAAGTGAGTCCCCCTTCAATACCAGGACTGCTCCCCAAGTGCTGCATAAGCGTCAGAGCTCTGTGCCCCAAATCCCCAGGAGCCTGGGCAAGCAGAACAGTAAGAGTAGATACAAGCTCTGGTCAGATCTCTCTGCACAACTAGACGTATGCTGGAGATTCTGTTAAGGGAGACCAGGGACAAGGAGCTCATGGCTCCCAGCTCCTAGCACCTTGCAGCTGTACACCCTGAGGCCAGGCCCTGAGCCTGACCCTGCCTTAGCTGACCTCTGGGCCCTAGCTCTGCTCTGTCCTGGCTGACAGGGAGACTTCAAGAGTAGTGAGAAGAGGGATTAGATATTGGGATACTCAGGGTGGAGGGTGGGAAATAGATCCCGGTCAGCTGGGCAAGCCAAGCATGGGGGACAGGGGACTGATGGGTTTGCCCTGCCCTGCTTTTCTTCCCACCTATCCAGAGTGCCTGACCTCCACACCCAGCCTTCCTGTCAGTACCTTCCCAGAGACCTGAAGTCTGAAGAGTCCTGACTTCCCTGTTCCTGAGAAATGTTGGTGCTGGCCCAATTCACCCATTCCTCAGAATCTAGGTTGCTGGGGAGGAGCTTCATCAAGAGCCAGGGGAAACAACTCTGGGAGGCCCCTGCCCTGAGGTGTAGTAGAGTTCTTAGTGTGCCTGGCTAAAGCACCAGGCTCCATAACACAGCATCCCAGGGCAATGTGAGCTGAAGAAGGCCAGCTGTCCATTGAGGTTCCTGTCCACACACACAGTGCAGCCTCTAAAGAGTCCCTGGGAGACTCGGGTGCAGGTGCGGGGCAGCAGATCCCATCATAATAAGGCCACCTGGGCTGCACAGAAGGACAGAGCAGGATCCAAGCCTGAATTCCTCACCTGCTCTTCTCAGGAATGGAGTCAGAATCACTGAGGTTGGGGCTGAGAATAACCTTTCATTTTAAGGATCACAAGGAAACAATCACAGCAAAAGCAAGAATTAGATCTGGACTCAGGTGCCCAATATACCCGTAAGTAAATGATGCCAGAGAGGAGAGAAGGGATAGGATAGGTATCATCCTTGGGGTGCTTCCTCCTGACAGAAGGTGGTCCCCACATTCTGTCCTCTCAGAAAAAGCCACAGAACTCAGGGCAATTCTGGACACACACAGGTCCAACTTGCAGCCCTGCTCTGAGTTCTGGGAACAGAGGACACCTCCAAACACCCCACCAGGGACTCTGGGCAGCTGGGGCTTGCTATTCTCTTGGAGAGTAAGAGCTCCACCTGACCCCAGCTTTCATCTCCTCTTCATTTTCTCATTTTTATCAAGTCTCACTAGCTTTCCTCCTGGAAAATACCTTGAGCTGCAAGATTTGCAGCAAGGTCTCTGAGTTCAATCGTCAATATGGAAAAAGGGAGGCAGAAGGGGGAAGAGGAAAGGAGGAAAGGGAAAGAGAGTTGGAAGAGAAGACAGGCAGAGGAAGTAAAAAAGAAAGGAAAAAATTATAAGAATGTCATAGCTTGTCTTGTTTCTCCCTCTGCAGCCTTACGTGCTCATTGGTGGGCTTTTTGATGGAGTATGGATCTAGGATTTATAATTCTGTCTGAGTGACTTTTGTTCTTGCTGAGACAAAATACCTGACACCCAAGGTTAAAGAAGGAAAGTTTGATTAGCTCACAGTTTTTGGAGGTTTTAGTCTATAAGCAGAAGGCTCTGAGGCTGGGTGCCAGATGGCAGAGGACAATAGTTCATGGCAGAAGACAGAAAAGCAACAAGGTAGAGTGAGACAAGCCAATAGCTGTATAACATATTGAATTACTGGGATTAGGGTGGTGCCAATGCAGTTAGTCACCCACCCTTAATTCCAGCACCCTTAATCTCAGCATTGTGTGATGACTCATCACAAGCTCTAGATACAGCTACTTCCAAAAAAACTGTGAACTCATGAGGCTTCGGGATGACATCTAGACACAAACCATAACAGCTGCTGTGATTAAGGATGTGATGTTGGGATTGATTTAATGTGTGATACCAGGATTAAGGGTGGGAGTGCTACCTGTCCTAAGGGATAAGATGCAAAGGACAGAAATAGCTATGGCCTTCCCTTCTTGCCTGCATCTTGCTGCTTTTGCCATCTTCTGCCTGCCATGAACTTTTTCTCCTTTGCGCCTCTGCCATACCACCCTGTTTTTTGTGCCATTTGGCTATGGACTGAAACCTCTACAAAGAGTGTAACTGAAATAAACCTTTCCTCCTTTATCTTTTTAGGTTTTTTGTCTCACCAGTGAGAAAAATAGAGAACAAAACATTCAATTCCATTATAATTAGGAAGTGTGTAATCCAACAGCAAGATTCTATGTCTCACCTAAAAGTTATCCAGTACTAAAAGTTGGACAACACAAAATCTAAGTGAACTTGTTAAGTAATGAAGTCCCTCATTTCCCACTGCTGGCAGTGAAAACTGACACAATCCTTTTGCAATACAAACTTACAGTACCTAAAATTTTGCTCAAAGGGAGCAAGTGTGAGCGTGTGCCTGGACAGCTTGGCACACATGCAGGTGGGAACTTCCTCCAGGACCCATGTCAGTGTTTATGGAAGAACGCCCACAAATGTGCACAAATGGTTAATTTCTTCAACAGATTTGATGCCAGTGAATGGAGAATTCCTTCAAGTAGGAGGAGCATCAGAAGGCACTGGAAAAAATAATACAGCAAGAGTCAACCACAAACCTAAACAATGTGTTGCTTTTAATATATATAAATGCTATATGTACTTATATACATGTGTGTGTAAGTATTTAAAGAAATGTAAGACCATAGTAATGATAAAACAAATTCAAGATTAGTAACTGTGCTTTTCCATTCCAAAGGACAAAGGGACATAAAATGAAGGAGGCCCACACACTGTAATCTCAGCTGTCTGGAGGGTTAGGCAGGAGACCCACAAGTTCTAGACCTGCCTGGGCATTTTTGTGAGGCTCTGTTTAAAATGAAGATAAAAAATAAAATATAGTTTAATATAATAAAATAATACATAATATATATAATAAATATATGGTATATAATGTATATTTTAATATATTACATAATGTAATTGTAATATTGTAATAATATAATATAAAATAAAGTTTAAAATACTTATAAAATAAAATAAAATAATAAAATAAAAATAAAATACAGGCCTGGGGTTGCAGCTTAGTGAAAAGGCCTCTGCTCAACCTACAGTGGCCAGAAGGGAACCAGAGGTTTCTTTTTATTTTCTGCTAAAGGAGACTGGACCCAGGGTTTCCCACCTTCTGGGCAAGCTCTCCAACTCCGAGTGAGTCCCCAACTCTGGAGGTTTCTAAGGCTGTGTAATGCACTGATTCTAAAGCTAGGCTAGGCAGATATTTTTACTGCATAATTCAGGGAACACAGGAGGAGGGGCATTGCTTGCTTTTTTGGTTTTTTAAAAAACATTATTTGAGTCAAATCGCAGAGAAAACACGACGGAAGAAGCAGTGATTACTGTCTCCTCCAGCAACTTTGTGTATACATTAGGGTCTGTGCTGCAAACCTTTCCCGTTATTAAGGCGCTGTGCAGACCTGTGGCTCCCCAGGGTCCCAGTGCTTCGTTCACTGTATAACCACCATCAGGCCTGTGACCTTGATCCCTGGATCCCAAGCAGCAAGAAATCCTCAAATGCCTGCCTGAATGCAGCAAGCTGCCTTTCAAGCTCCCTGCAGTCTCTGCTCCTGGGCTTTGAGCTGCACGTTTATTTCCTTTTTTATTTTACTTTGTTTGATTTTATTTTAGAAAAAACAGAAAAATCAAGAAGGAAGCAAACAATTTAAAAAACAAAATCAAAATCACAACAGCCATAACAAAAAACGTCAGTACAGGATTTCAAAAAAGGTGATAGGAATGTCATTGTGGTTGTTCTGTTGCATACTGTTATCTTCAAAGTAACTGCCCAGGCTCCCGAGGTGCCACCTCGTCTTCTTTCCTTACTAGACTGGGGTACCGCGGCGCCTCTGGAAACCGCTTGTTCTGCTGGCACCTGTCCTGCTTCCCTGAGCCCTGGCTCCTCCACCCAGGGACCCTCAGAGCCCCAGCTGGCTGGAATCCAGGCTGCTCCGGGGCGCTGCAGCACTAGCTCCTGCCTGATCTCGCCCAGCGCAAAGGCGGCCCGGTCCCCGTCCCTCGGCCTCCTGATTCCACCCGGCAACCTCAGAATCCAGGAGTGAGGCCCCAGCCCGGCCACACAGCGCACTTCCCGCCTCCCTTTACCCTCGGGGCATCAAAATCTGGAAAACCAGGAGCTGACTTCTTGCTGCAGCTGCGCGGGCTCCCCGCTCCGCCCCCAAGCCAGCCCCCCGCCTCCCCGCCTCCCCGCCTCCCCCCCTCCCCGCCCGCTTCTTCCGCCCGCTTCTTCCGCGCCTTGCATGCCAGCCCTCCAGCTGCCCCAGAGCCGCGGCTGTTCACAGAGCACGACTGCAGTTGCCCAAGACCCCCGGTAAGTCGCCCCTCGGTCCTAGGGCAGACTCCATGTTCAGGGAGAAACCTTCGCTGGGAACCTCAGGAAGGCGCAAGCGGGTAGGAAGAGCCAGTCCATGAGGATGCCGCCCGCTCCGAAGGGAGCCAGGGCGATTTCTACAAAACCGATTAGAATGGGGCCAGGTGGAAAGGGGGCTCTGCTTTTACAGTGATCCAGGCCCAGGGCTGAGGGCAGGAGGGCCCAGCTCTGAGTCAGGAGAACATAGCTTCCCTAGCCTCTCCAGGTTTGTGACTCGGGGCGCCCGATGCTCCCAGGGCACGAAAGTGGCGCCACTGCTTTCCTGCTCAGGATTCTGAGAGCTCAGAGGTGCCCAAGTGCGCTGGCTTTAGGGGCTGGAACGGGTGCCCCGGGCCGCATCTGGCTGTGCACCTGGCTGCTTGGGAGGGCACAGGTGTCATTTCAGGGCTCCCTGTCCCAGTCTCCAGCTGCTGACAGCTTGAGGAGCCTGACTCAGCCATGGTTCCCGCCACCCCTCCCCCCACAGCAGAAAGTCTGGGCGCCAAAATGAAACCTCCCATGAGCCCAAGCGAGGGAAGCACAGCCAGCTGGCAGGGAGCCCTGGGCAGTGGCGCTGAGGGGAATTCCCGGACTACTTCTGGGCTCTGGGGCCCTGGAGAATGCATGAGGCAGACAACAACATGAAGACACAATCCAAGGATTTTCATGTCGCTGTGATTTTACCACTGTGCCATCTGTGGCCTAAATGGAGACCAGCATTTCACATCAGTAGGACACACTTTTTGTTTTACCTAACTTCTTGATTACTTTGCTCTCCTTGCTGAGACAAAACCACCGCACACTTGAAATGAAGGAAGGAAAGGTTTATTAGGTCACAGTTTGTGGAGGTTTCAGTCCACAATCAGCTGGCTCCAAGGCAGGGTGGTGTGGCATCATGGCAACACTTCAAGGCAGCTGCTAGAGCAAAAGGTAGGAAAAAGTCTCTTTTCCTGTCTTATGTCATACACAGGCCACCATCCCTTCTCTAGGACTGGTGTAGTCTCTTTGCCCTCCTCTTGAACGGGATGAGGATATGTACAAAGTAAATGATGCTGGTTTGTGCTGAGGCTTTTAGTTAAACTTCTAAACTTCTCAAATTGACACAGTGTATAAACCAGTGGCACCAATAGCTAATACCTCTTAATTCTTTTTTCATCTCCTTCTCCCTTCCCTGTATTTCTGGATCCCCTTTCCATGGTCCAAAGATCTCACTCCATATTTCCTATTATGTATCTTTAATGTTACTCTTTGATTTGTTTCTGCTTTTGATTTCTCATAGAAGAAACCATGTGATTTTTTAAAAAAATTTATTTAATGAAAGACTAAAGAAAATGGATAGAAATAATACATACTTTCAAAGAAAACAAACAGTAAGAATTCGCTAGTTGATGATTACATATTGTCCTCTTACAAATAGCTGTTCAAGATACAAAAGTGAAACATACAAAGTGGGGATTCAAACAGTGAGACTGCAATCAGTTCTGTTCAACTATCCAACAATAACTTGGTAATATGATTATCAATCCTATACTCTTAAACATACCTGCAGTTATCCATATCTTTACTTATGTTGAGATTAAACAAACCAAAGCAGGCTAAAATCACTCTGAACAAAGAATAATATTATTTCTGGATTTCATATCATGACACTAAGGGATCAGCACTAGGTACTGTAGGGTCTCTTTTTCTTCAGAATAGTTGTTCATTTCATCATGCATTATAGGACGAGTTCTCTTAAGCTGTTTATAGGTTCTACACATGCATGAGTCTTAACATGTATTTCTATCCTTTCTATATTAGAGGGAGAAACAAAACAAATCAAGACAAAACAAAACATAGTCCTATAAACACATGAAACTAAAAGACATCTAAAACCACTATACAAGGAGTTTTACCATGGTTACTGCATTGCCTCTTGTTATCTTAAACAGAATTGTCTATGTCATCATAGTATAATTGAATATAGCAGTAAAAAACAATATTAATAAATACACAACTTTGTAGATTGTGTAAAACTTCAAAAACAGGTAGTAATCAAACCAGAATGGGTTTTGTAGTGAATCTTGTCATCTTCAGTGTTGTTGTCTGTACTCTCAGACCTGATACTATCAATCATAACAGTTTTGAATACAATCTGTCGATACCAAACAGCAATCAAACAAACCAGATTTAACTAAGATCAGTCATGATAAAATAGTATAAGTTATACAGGGCTCCAGATTAAGTTAATAGGAAATTAAAGATGATTACTGTACTATATCCTATTATTTTTGGGATAGCTGTCTGTGCCCTCAGCTCTAATGCAAGTAGACAAACTGGGACAGAATAAAATCTATCTAAGCAAAGTGGTGTGAATAATATGGGTCTTAAATCCTGATACACTATTAACAATATCTTCTGCCACCTTTTTTAAGACTTTTCCTCCCCTTTCACACCCCCAGGATGCACTGTGCATTTTTGGGTCTCACAAACACCCTCAGGTTTTAGATTGGGGGAGGGGGGTCAACCTGCTATTTAACTATGTAAGTACGAACCTTCTCCCTCCTGGACTTGATCTCTAGTTGGATTCCTTTACCTAGTAAAGCCTGTCTTTCCAACCTATCCACAAATACTGGTCCAGTTGCCCCTATTACTCTCTGGTTCCCTGTCACATAGAACACTGTTTTCTCATATTTGATTTTCAGTCCATAAACCCTTTTTCAGCTTAATTATGTTTCCTATAAAGAGCATCTTGGTGGACCCTACCTCCTGATCTACTCTGCCTGATTTCTCTCTTGATTATAGCCAATCTTCTCTGCCTCATTTCTGTTGTGCTCTTTTTCTGCCATTAGTTGTCTGCTTATCTTCTTCATTCTGTTTTCTGCTCCATTCATGGAGGCAACTCTGCCACTATTCCTGGAATCCTGGTACTTTTCTGTCTCCAGAATGCCCTTCAGTATTCTCTATAGAGTTGGATTGGTGGTCGGGAATTCCCCCAATTCCTCTTTGTCTTGGAAGCATCTTGTTTCTGTGTTAATTTCTAGAGAAAGTTTTTTGGGGTACATCAATCTGGGCTGGAAGTTATTTTTTTTTTCAGGGCTTGGAATACTCTGCACCAATCTCTTCTTGATTTGATGGTCTGTTTTGAGAAGTGTGCTGTGATTTTCACAGATTTTCCTTTATAGGTAATCTGTTTATTTTCTCTGATGGCTTTTATTGTATTATTATTTTTGGTACTGAAGACTGAACTCAGGTCTTTGCACTTATCAGGTTAGCACTTAAACTTCTGAGCTAAATCTCCAGCCCTTCTGATGGCTTTTAATATTCTGTTCTTATATTGAATTTCTGGGATTATGATTATTATAAGCCTGGGTGTGGCTCTGTTTTGGTTGTAGGTGGCTGGAGTTCTGTATGCCTCAAACATCTGAATTATCATTTCCTTTCCCTATGCTTGGGAAGTTTTCCTTGATTATTTCTGTGAATAGACTTTGTAGTTCCTTTGTTTGTACCCCTGCTTCTTCATTCACATTCTTTATTCTTGAGTTATAGATTCTCTTGTCATGTGCTAGCCTTTATATTGTTACTGCCTGTTTCCTTGTTATTTTAAAGGAATTTTTCCTTTCATGATCCCACATTATAAATCTGTCTTCCAGTTTGGATAATCTGTCCTTAGTTTCTTTCAAGCTGTTTTTCCAGCTTTCAGTGCAGTATTTTATTTCCTGGTAATCACTTTGAATCCGCTTCATGTATTCTATGTTGTCTTTGTATTCTTCATCAAACATTTCTCTCCTTTTGTGCTACTCCATTCTTCCATCTGTGTCTTCTTGAGAGGTGCTAACCTTTTTTTTTTTTATTAATCTACCTATATCTTGCTTTACTTGGTTAAATATTTCATTTTTGAACTTGTCTATGAGGTCCCAAAGATATCTCTTTATGTCCACTGATGCGGTGTCTGATACTGTATGTTTGCTGTCCTCAATCTCTTTTGTATTTACCTCTCCTGGATCAATGTCTCAGGGTTGGGGGCTGAGCACTTTTTCTTGTTGCTTGCTCTTCTCATATTTTTTGTTTCTTCCATACAAGCGTATAGAGGAGGTCCCAGTCCCTTTCCTTGTTGGTGAGGTTCTTCTGAAGTGTGCTGGCTAGGTGATCCTGCCCACTCCAGTATGTTATTGAAGTGCAAACAGGGGTGGCGTATGCTGGCTCCTCCCCTCTACGTCAGTCAACCTGCTATGGTCTTCACTGACTTACTGTGTGCCGCGCCTAGGGAATTGGTTTGGGACAACTTATTGGGTCTCAATCAGGGGCGTGACCCAGGCCAAGCATACCCCACCAATCTCTTCTGGAAAGGGAACAACTGATTGAAGTCACTGCTGTCCTTGTTCTTGCCAGTCCTACCTAATCTGTTGGTCCCCCTTTCCCATGGAAGGTTTTATTCCCGGCACTCACTGCAGGTTGATGCAGGGCCCTTGCTAACTCCATTCTCCTTTGGGCTCACTGAACTCCAGCTTCAGTGCAACTGCGGTTCCAGCAAGTTGAAGTGGTGGGAGTTCGGGTGCACGAGAGCACAGAATCTTAGCTGCCTCAATAGTAGCCCTGGGACTGCATGTATGACTGGTTCTTTTTGCTTTACTTTCTTCCTGGGTCAAGAGGATCCATCTTTCTCTGTCTGGGACTCCCTACACTGTGTTATTTCTGCATCTGAGTTGTCTGCCTCAGGGCTCTGTAATCTGCTCTTACTACCTGCTATCTTTACCAGAACTCCTGAAACCATGTGATTTTTAAGATATGGGTCTGATTTATTTTGCTTAACACTGCAAACACTAGATAGAATATTTTTATCCTCATTTAAGGTCTGCCTGTGCTCTGAGCTCTGGACTTAGACAATCACCTCTCTTCTCTGTACTGCACTCACTCGGAAAACAAAATCCAGATGTAAGCTTCTATCCACAGTAGGTGTGAGGATTCACTCTTAGAAGTAAACTTCATGGTGGTTAGTGCACTACCCAACATGAAAGAGCTCTCTGTAAAAGAGAGTTTATTGTCAGAGTCATACCCTTGACACACAGCCTGTCTATTTGCTAAGTTAATGTCCTCTGGAGAACAAACCCAGAGCTGAAGAGGACAGATTAGGGGCAAAATCTGCTTAATCTTTTCCTTTGTAGCACTCATGAGAACTGTGAAGATACTGCTCTCACTTGGACCTTTTTGAAATTAGGATTGCAGCTGAACCGTCTGTTTCATTGTCAAGCCATCATGAGCTGTCAGAAGCCGAAATTCCGGAAGATGCATAAGGGGAAGAATATGAAAATCGAGGACTTCTTTTCCCAGGTGTGTCTGCAGAGATTATAGGACGTGCTGATATTAGCTTGGCCAGCCTTGGCCCTGTGTTGCATAGTCCTTCCTGCTGAGAAATAGCCTTGTTTATGGGTAATATTACACAACTCAACATCTTTCTCTGTCCTTTGTTCTTTCTGTGTTGGCAGATGGCAATAGAGAAGGCAACTGTGATTTTTTAAAAAATGAGAACCAGAGCAAACTAGCTTTTAATAAAAAGCTATTGCAATACTTCTTCAGGAGCCATAAAAAATACAATGAATGGGCCAGGGACTTAGCTAGAGAATTGTGCCTGGAGCACAATTGTGGGCCTGGTAAGTGCGAGGTTGGGAGTTTGATCCCTGGTACCAAAAAATTAATTGATTAATTAATTAAAACTTATTGGAGTTAACTGAGAAAACCAAAAAGTTGACAGTATTTTACAGCCTGGAAATGGCTTTGCAAGTGTGACTGATATATCAGATCATAATAAGTTGTGTTTGAAGGACTTTGTGGCATATGAGGCAATCTCTGTGTGTTTGTCTCTTCTATCCATAAGCGCATTAGGCAGGCACATGGGATTTTATCTCCACATTGCTTTTGAAGAGCAAAAAGATAGTGCAGTCGGGGCTCGATAGTGCTGGAGTGAAGATGTGAGCTTAAAGTTTACCAAGGTGAACACAGGGCTGCGTCTAATATCAGGGCTCTGGTCTTAGATCCCTTCCTGAGTCGAAAATGCACCTTAATTAATCAAGAAGAAGGATGAGAAATGCCAGGCATCTAGGAGTGCAGTTTCAAAGCTTTTCTCCAACTTTTTCTAGAATTCTAAAACATCTGAGTATCTAGAGAACCCAAGGCAAGCATTGCTCTGCTTGTCTCTGGCATCCTGCTCCATGGCAGAGTGAGCCCACAACTGTCTGTGCTTCCCGTCTTTCCCTTTCTCCAGCACCTGCATTGTCCCAGGAATCCTCCCAGGAGCTGGGGTCTCTCACAATGCTCTCTGGGTACAAAGAAGGATGCATCTAGCAGCATGGGCTGAAAGGAAGCTTTGAGAATATATATGCTTCGTCAGAGTAAATTGATATTACCTTATGTTCTTTTTTATGTTGGTACCCATGAATATTAATATTATTACAAAACAAGAAAATAAATTCAGCCTCATACATGATCATCATGGTGCTGACCTCTGCCACACACTGACCTCAGGCTGGATCTCTACAGCAGCCCTGGCCTTGAGATTCTCATCACCAGCAAACAGCATGGCCAGCAGACAAACCCAGGCCTGCGCCACTCTTGCAATGAGCAATGTGTCAGGGAGAGGGTACCTCTCAGACCTGTCAATCTGAGGTGCTTAGCTATTCATTACATTGTTGATAGTTAATTAATTTTCATTATTCAATTCCTCCTCCTTACTCCTGGCTCATAAAATTGCATCTTATAAAAATGGAAATCCTGGGTTCAAAATTTTAAAAAAATATGTATGGTCACGTGTAAAAATATTAGACTAACTACAGGAGTATTGGCATTTACTTTATTTACTGGTTATTATGCGATCCCAAGAAAGGCATTGGTTAAGCTATATGGTGTGCCTCAGTTTCTCCATCCAAAGAAAGGAAAGGCTTTTTGTGTTTTTCCCATTTCATGGGACGTAAGCATTAAGTAATGTAACACAAGAAGTAATCTCAGATTTCTACACAATGGATGATAAGTGAGAAGAAATATTTATTATTGCAAATAATTGCAATTTTGTGACCATATAGTTTAGTAATGATTGTTTTGTTTACTGTCTAATGCCTGACAATAAACCACTGTAGCGTATTCTTTGTGAATTCCGTGTTTGAAGGTTTAAACGTAGTGTAATCTATCACTGTGCTTGGCACATGTAAAAATTAAATAGCTAACATTAAGAAACTGGAACTGAAATAACATGAGGAAGTTTGTAGATTTTTAAGCATCAGGGGAAAGGGTTGTATTTCTTCCCTAATAGTTGTCAGAAAACATCGGCAGTGTGATACGAAGCTCTGCTTATGTTTGTAATCTCGAATTAAAATCTAATTATATCTACTTACCTATTGGGATTGGATCTAAGTTTTCCAAAGGATCTCTAGGAGTTTCATGTCAAAAAGAGAAACAAAACACACTAGGTTGTATTCACAGTTTTAAAATATGTAATACTTATTTTTAGGTGCCCAGAGAACAGCAGAATGATACCCACAGTTCTCAAAAGAAGGTACAATCTAGAAAACGGCTAAGGGATATAACTAGTACCCAGGGTCAAGAATACCATCTTCCTAAGAAAATTGCAGAAGATAAGACCACACACCCAAAGAAGATTTACATTACCTTCGGGAAAAATGACAACATGACATATGAGCTTGCACACAGTGAGAGAGCCAGCTTATACGAGGCACTCAACACTCTTAAAGCTGTCAAAGAAAATGTAAAATCTCACCAAAATAAACAAATGCTGGTGAAGGGCATAAAAGGAATCATGGGGTACCTGAACCTCGCAATGCCCTTCAGTTGTATTCCTAACGAGAGCACGGTGGACATCACTTTTTCCAAACATGCAAGTGAGCAGAAGGAAGATAATCCAATATTTGGCCAACAAGACAGACCATACACTGACTGTGTCAAATTTTATGTTTATGCAATTGGGCAGACAATAAAAAGGATTGTTAAATGTAAGGAGCTTCACAAAGAAGGAAACAAACTCTGTGTCTTTGGTTTCAAAGGTGAAAAAATCAAGGAGGCTGTGTGCAAGGACCACAGATTTCTTCCTTTTCTGGAGAATGGCCATTGGCAACTCATCAGCAACAAGGATTCCATTATAGAAAACACCCAGGTAGTCGACGACATGGAGGGAAAGGTCGTTCACATCTCAGCTAAGAGGAGAAGCAGCCTTAAGAAGGCCACACAGAATGCAGAGTTAGAGAAAAGCAGGTTCCCTGTGTTGAAAGAATATATTGTGGAAGAGTATCCCTGCTTGAAAAGAGAAAGGGAAAACTTCAGAGAAAACCTCAAGAAAGAAATGAAAGCAACAGGAAAAGAACGAACAACATTAGTTCGTTTGCATAGAACAAACTTTGGGAAACAGACCAAAAATTCTACTCCTGTTAAAACAATCAAGCACCTTTCACGTGTCAGTGACTCAGTTGGATTCTTACACTGGGACAATAATGGCAACATGGGTACTGCTACCTGCTTTGTGTTCACAGGGCCCTACATTTTCACTTGTCGCCACGTGGTAGATCTGATCGTGGGGAGAGGAGTGGAGCTCAGTAAATGGGCAGACATAATCAGCCACTGTGCTCGGGTGACATTCAGTTATGAGGAGTTTGAATCAAAAGACCAAAACTCCTTCTCCATCGAGTCTTGGTTTGAGATATCTGATGTAGATCTCGACTATGCAGTCCTGAAACTCAAGGAAAATGGACAGGAAGTTCCTGTAGGACTCTACAATCGGATCACCCCTGCACCAGCTAATGGGTTGGTGTATATTATTGGGCATCCTGCAGGAGAAAGGAAGTCCACTGATGCATGTGTCATGATTCCTCAGAGTGAGAGAAAAGAGACGTGTGAAAGAAATGTGAGAGAATTAGTGCCCGAGCCTCAGTTTGCCCACATGTACACTCAAAACAGTTTCAGGGAAATTCTTCACAACCCTAATGTTGTTACCTATGACACCACTTTTTATTGGGGTTCTTCTGGCTCACCAGTGTTTGACTCCCATGGCTCCTTGGTGGCCATGCATACTGCTGGCTGCACTGAAAAGTATGGAGAAGGGACTTTTCATATCATTGAGTTTGGCTCTGCTATGCAAGCCATCCTCTCTGATATTAAGCAGAAGTATTTGGTGTGGTACGAACAGGAGTGTGTAAATCAACAGGATGTAGAAATGCCGAGTCTGGAGTAATGAGGCTTGGTGTGCACTTGCCTTGTGCAGTTGCCTTCCACAGCAATGATGCTGGTTTTCTAACTTCCAAAGTGGTCAATTGTAGAAACATTAAAGCAGTCGATATTGGAGACCAGCAATTTTTATAAACCCATAAAGAAATGAGTCCCATTGTAAAATGAAGCTTAAGTGTCAATTGCTTGCTAAGGTCCTTGTCCTCTTTTCTGGACTGTCAAAGGACAACAGCTCACCAAACAAAACTCACCTAGCTTAGTCTCCTGGGCTGTGTTGGCATGAAGTGTTTGACCCCTGGCAAGGCCGAGTCAGTTCCCCATCTCTGCCTGAAGCAAGTGTAAAAAGACAGCCCCAAATCCCTTCTGCATCCCTCACAAATAAGTAATCACAGTCCTGGAATTGAGAATCAGGCAGAATAAAAGAAATAAAGATGGTAGGAAGGAGAGAAGGAAGATTATAATTTGTAGATGGTACTTTTAAGTTTCTTCAGGACACAGTTACCGAAAGTTATCCACATCTCCACACGCTGGGAGCTGTCAAAGTTTTCATAGATTGCTGTTAGGGAATATGTTTAATCTTTAAAAATACATAGGTAGTATACTGGACACTGTGCCTTTCTCCTTTAAAATAAGGCACTGTCTTCCCTGTGGGCAATTCATCACTTTTTGCCTGCAAACCATATCTATATAGATTCTCAAATTCCACTGCAAAAACATAAACATTCCCCGTTGTAGACCGTAATGCACCTCCTTTTTTAGGCTTCACACTCTAATTCTTTGAGTGGGTGCTTTAAAATGCTGCCTCATAATACCTTTATACATCTTTAAAAAAAATATTAGATCAGGTGAACAAGAAGCAAACCCTCCCTGTGGCTGAGCACCTTGTGCATTCAGCTGGGGGAGAGAAGCAGATCCTTCTCCCTGCCATGAGTCAGTGCCTTTCATGGATGGCAGCGGAGGAGAACAAGTAGCCAATGAGAAGTAAACCCTCTCTATGAGTTGGCTCCATGCACGGGCTACTGGGGGAACAACCAGACACCAGCTTCTTCTGGGGCACAGGTTGGGAGACAAGAAGAGCCAGCCTCATAAGCAAGCAGCTGATGTGGAGAAACACAAGCTGTGATGATAGCTATTGAGGTAAAATACAGCTTAATGCTTGTAGTGTTGAGGGTTTTGCTTACTTTGTAAGCCTAAAGCTATTAGTCTCCTCATCTACTGAGAGGAGAAAATACACAGTGTAGCATCTATGGGAGTCTCTTTCTGAAGGTGGTAGCCAAGTTAATTCCCTATGGTCTTATTTTGAAGTCTTGTATCATTTTCATTGTTTTCTTGGGTTGAGGGTTACTCTGTTTTGTCATGTTTGGTTATATTAACACCAATGGGTGGGCAGTTATTTCAAAGATACTAGTAAGTCCAAAATGGCAACCATACCATACAAAGATAACAAGATATGCTATGGTTGCCATTTTGGACTTACTAGTATCTTGATTTGAAGTCCTTTATAATGTTCATTGTTTTGTTTTTATTGTTTCTGTTCTGTTTGCTTTGATTTTTACTATGCCTGAAGTTAAAGACAGCTATTTTGAAGACAAGAAGAGGGATTATAATTACCATTCTTGATTTTCTATTATCTTGTTTTGAGGTTTTGTGTCACACTGTTATTTTCACTGGCAAAAAAAAAAAACCAAACAAACATAAAATTAATTCTAACACTTCTATGAAGAAAGTTATTGTCCCTCTTAAAATAATCAATATGAGGTGTGATAAGATGAATGATAAGTTATATGGTAAACATCACGTAACTTAATTTTTTCATCTTCAGTTTCTTCTCCTAAATTTACTTACTTCAGAAGAACTACTGAAATTTGCTAATCTAATTATCCCTAATATCTAGGTGTTTACAAAAATGTTTGGGTCCACCAGAAGTAGAACTTGCCTCCTGAGGAACCAAATCTTTGTTAGGAGGAGATCACTATCAAAATCCTGATTTCCAAAATCTTCCATTTACTAAAATGGTCAGAATACAGGTATCCTAAAGTCACGGGTCACAACTGCTCTTCTTTGCTTATAGTCCATGAGCGGAAGGAAGATGTCTTTAAAGACCTGTGCTGCTTTCTTCAGATTTCCTTTGTTTCTCCCCGATTTCCTTTTTTCTGTTCCAAGACCCCACCCAGCATTCCCATGAAGTGTCATTGTCCACTCTCCTTAAGATCCTGGCTCTGACAGTTCCTCAGCTGTCTGTGTTCGATGACCTTGGTATCTGGGAAGAGCACAGTTTTGTAGGATGCCCCATTTCCTGGGTTTTGTCGAAGGATTTGCTGATGATTACACACCAGTGGGCTCTGGTGTTCAAGATCTTGGGATAAAATACCATTTTGGACATAATGGATCAAAGCCCAGACTGTAATATGATTCATGACCATTAGTGTCAGCCTTGATCTACTGGGGTTGCAGTGTTTGTCCAATGTGAGCCAGAGTCTCCCTGGTCTTCCCCAGCCTGCATGTGTGACCTGGTGTGTGGCCCTCCAGACATCCTCCACCCACCACGACCCTCCCACCCCTCCAGCCCTCTGTGGAGCATCAGCCCACATTCTAACACTGGGCTGCAGCACTGGGGTCAAGATGTTTAAGCAATAAAATGTTCATTTCCATCTGTTTTTCCTATTCATTGAAGGTGTGCTCTCCATATTAATCAGTTTAAGCAGAGCACAGAGACATTTGTGTATGTACTTCTATATATACATGTAGCTATAAATACTTATAGAGATAACCCTCTCTTTCTGCAATAAATGAAGGAGTCCTCGCTGACGCTCCCAATGCTGATCAGTAACCACACAGATCAATTAGGTTCTGCCCTCTGCTCCTCTGTAACTGCACTCCAGGTGTGAGAAGCCTGGCTGCTACATCCCTCAGTCAATTTTTTTGGTTATTTAGAACATGCATATCAGTCAGGAATTTGTTAAGTGTACCCACATGGCAAATAACTTTTTAATGTTTTTTTCTTTTTGAGTCTGACAGGCTCTAACTATGCAGTTCAGGGAGACCTTGAACTCTCTTGGTAGGCCAGCCTGGCCTAGAAACTACAGGGATACTCCTTCCCCAGCCTCACTAGTGCAGGGGTTGTACACATGTACTATCACAGCCGGAAAGATAACTTTTTTCAGTCAACTGCAATACCATGCTTGTGTGCAATTTCTTTTGGTCTTTACTCCTATGCACTCCATTTCTCCCAAAAGTTACTTGGTTCAGGACATTTTCCCTCAACCGCTTTAGAAAAAAATGTTTCATCGATTTAACACAATTATACATGTAACATTTGGATTTTTTCTCACATCCTACATTCATTCATTCATTTATTCATTCATTTATTCTTCCCTAATACTCCTCTTAAATAAAGTCTTAAATTTGTGTACAACAGATCCATTCTATAGCTTGTAAAAGCCTATGGGCTTTAGCCAGTGGATAACATACACATATCGTTATAGTATCATACAGAGTAGTTTCTCCACCCTAAAATATCTATTCCATCCGCTTCTCTCTTACTCTTCTCTGAAATGCCCCACAGAAGCTGATCTTTTTACTACTTTTATACCTTTGTACCTTTAGCTTTATAAGAATGTCATGTAACTGTAGTCAAATAATGACATGGCTTGTATCTCGATGGCCCCAGCAAAACGTCATGAACTCCTAAGTTGGGTTTTCGGCTGATGGCCAGATTATGGGTGTATAATCCTGGGGTTAAAGGTGTGTAGCACTGAATTTATCCAGTAGTTGGGTTATAATGGTTCTGGGTTGATTGAATGGATTTATTGAAGAAAGATGGTCCCCCTTGGGTGTGGGTACTCTAACCAGTAGGTTTGTATCCTGGATTCAATAAAAGGGAAAAAGTAAGCTCATGGCTGCTGCTTTCTTCCTGCCCTGCATTGGACTATTTCTCCTCTGCTGTGCCCCACTACCATGCTACCCTGCCTTGGAGCCAGTCAACTATGTGTTGAAGCGTAAACTACTTCTCTTAACTTTGGGTGTCTGGTATATGGTGTCAGCCAAGAGAAAAATAGCTAAGACCTATAATATGTAATCTCCTCAGACAGGCTAATATACAATTCATATTTTTTGGATATTTTTGTGGCTTGACAGTTCATTTGTTTCCTACGCTGAATAATAACCCATTGCACAGACTCACACAGTTTGTGTGTTCTGCCACATGTTGAATGAGCTCTTTGTTGCTTCTAATTTTTTGTGATTAAGAATAAAATTGTTACAAGAACTTATATTGTGATTTTTATGCGACAGGTCAATTGGGTAAACACCAAAGTGTGGAACTGATTGGCTGTGTGGAAGGACAAGATTTATCATTGTTACAGTCTTCTTCCAAACTACATTCCAAAAAATGTACTATTTTGCATTCATCTAAAATGGATTTCCTTATTCTTAGCAGACTTTGGTGCTGCGCATGTTTGGTTTTATTTTAATACTGTTGGAATGCTGGGGTTTTTCAGGGAATTCTAAGATTTATTGATGAAATTGGGGATGTCTTAGATGACCTAAGAAACGCACAGTTATAGTGTCAGCGTGCATTGGGTCAGAAAACATTAGAGCTACTATAAATATTACAGGAATGAGTACTTAGTTAAAAACTGAGGGTTCTATGAATGTGGGAAGATCAGGAGGAAAAGAGGAGAAATGTGCTGACTGACGTTCAGCTTTCTGAGGAGAAGCTATGTCTCATCACCATGATCACGCTAAATGAATTTCAGAGGATCTGGAAAATTTCTACATCAGACTTCTGATGAGTGAGAGCTCCTGAGGAACCTGGCTGTCTGCCTGACTGCCATGACCTTCCAACAGGTGTGAGTATGACTTGAGCATCTCCACCTTCCAAGATTGTTAAGCATTCTTTTCAATACCAAATACCAACCCAAAGCTTACAGGGACTCTGGGAAAGACAGTTTTCCACTGTAGAAGCAGTGAGCCAGAAGACAACAGAGAAAGGTGCCACATATATAATCATGAACTATTTCCACCTGAATGGTGATGCCCCCCAGGACTTAGCATGTTATCTGTGATGGTTGATACCAAGTCATCTGCACTGACCACATCCCCCAGGGAAGTTATGCTCTAAACAAATCTGGGGATCCAGTGTTTCTGTGCACCTGAAACACTTTCCTGTGTTTAATACCTGAAGGTATTTTGGAGAAGCATGTGCTTTCATCCTTTCCCTTTGTTATCTTTGATACACTGTGTCAATTTGAAAAATTTAGAAGTTTAAGAGACTCAGTAGGGAGCCATGGTACTTTTTAAATATCCTCTTCCTGTAGAAAAGAAGGCCAAGATTTTGAGAGTGCTACACCAACTCTGGAAGGGACATGGCCCTGTATAATGTAATAGAGAAGAGGTTTGCTCCTCTTTTCGGCCGGCCTGTGCTCTGCTGCCACCTGTGGGCCCTGAGCGGTATGCTAACACAGCCACCATCCCAAACCCCTGTCTCCCTTTGGCTTTGTCCTCTGCTTCACTGTGATCTCTGTTCTTCTCCACTGTGTCCCAGCCTTTTCCCTTCCTGAGCTTCCCAGGATATTTGCTATTTTCTTTCTATGAGCAGATTAATATCTCCAAACCGAAGTATCACAGAGTCACAATATACACACGAACCCTACTACCTATACACATACACACACACAGACACACATGCACACACACACACATTCCACTGTTGGCACACACAAAGGGTCTTTTCTTAGACTTCCAAAGGGAAGATTTTATCCACTCAAGTCAGGAGCCAGGAATCACTGCAGAGCCTTCTTTTTCTTCATGGGTGGGGCAAACCACACTTAAGCAAATTTCTCACACTTGCCCTTCAAAACAAACGCAGACTCCAACCATCTGTGACACCTCCCCACCCAACCAGGTCACTCTGCACCCCTGTGACTTCCCAAGGCAGCCCCACATATGTCCCCTCTACTCAGGCAGCATCAGAGAACATTGCTCATGCAGCTGCCTGAGTGAATTTCCACAATACCACAGCACATGGTGTATTAGCCAGCTTCAGATGCTCCATTTAGAGCAAATTTCGCACATTTTCAGGGAAATGCAGTCCCCTCTTTTGAACTACAAGGTGGAAAGTAGATGCGAATCTTCCTTACTTATAGTAAGGGACATACTAGGCCATTTCCGTAACACCATTCTCCATGTCTCTTCTTTGTCATACCGTGTGTGTGTGTGTGTGTGTGTGTGTGTGTGTGTGTGTGTGTGCTGCAAAGTTGTTTGTGTGTGTTGTGTTTATTTTTAATTTTTAATGGCTCTTGTTTGCAACACCCAGGAAGTTCTTTTGTTGTGTGGAGTTGGTACGTGGACCTAACACACCTCAATGTTTCTTCTGTACCCTACCCCTCCCTGCTCTCTCTGACTCCCCTTTCCATTACAAACCTCTAGTTTCATTTTTTTAACTCCCTGCCATTCAGCCATGATGCTTTATTCTGCATTGTGTAAATTCATGAGCCTGGCACAGTTGTAGATTCAAGACAGGAAACCTGACCTCAGCTATGGACCTACCAGTACCAGCTCTGTCCCTTAAGAAGCTGTCCTCCAGCAGATGATGGGCCCACTTCTCAGAGTAGGTAAGTGCTGCTGCCAGCTCTGTGCTGGAGGGAGCCAGGGTGAGCACTCCCCTAACCAAAACTTCTCCCCCAAACTTGCACCCCATGGTGATAAAACTTTCTTCTGGAATATCAGTACCTCATGGCCAAAAGGCTGTGGGCCTACGATTTAAGAAATAACTCTGATTTGAGTAATCTTTGTCTGTTCCATTCATTTTAGTTTTCTTTGGATTTTCACAATACCCCTTTAATTTCAGTAAAGGCCTGAGCATGTCAAAAACAGCAGTGAGCACAACTCCTCTGTGTAGACCCACATTGCTCAGGAAGAGCACACAGGCCTCTTCCTCCCACCTCCTCAGCTGTCACAAAGATCCTTTCCAGGAGATACTGAAGATTGGTCACCTCCAGGATCACCTCATCCCCGTCTCACTCACCTCTCGATACTCGCCTGATACCAAAGGCATAGGTCCTGCTCTGTTCTGAAACAGAAAATCTTGGGTTCCAAGACCCACGTTAGTCTGCCTTTCACGCAGAGACTGCTCCCCAACACTAGTATTGGACACAGAGCTCTGCGCCACCACCCCCAGGTGCCCAGGCAAGCAGAACAGGCAGAGCAGCTCCCAGCTCTGGTCAGCTCCCCCTGCACACCTAAGCCTGTGCTGTGTTGTACTCTATTCAAAAAACAGGGCCCCATGATGAAAACCGGGGCAAGACTCCAAGATGACAAACAGGGCAAGACGTCTTTTTTAAAAGAAGCGCTTTTATTTTAGCTGGCCCAGCGACACAGTTCAGATGGAATTTGCAAAGCTGTGCAACTGAGTTAGAGTTTTGACTGATTTTTATAGCTCATTTATGATTAGCTCATTGATCATTAAGTACATAGTGATGAGAAACAGAAATAAGGTGGGCCTTTGTTCCCCTTTGCTTGAGGTCAGAGGCATTTCACAGTGGGTGGTTAGCCAATTCATAGCCCTTGGTCTGCCAATTCCAGGAACATTTGTCTCTCATGAAGGGAACAATGGTTGACACAGCATCATTTGTCTCTTACAAGAGGAACAAAAGTTGACATAGCACACAGGTCACTGGGGGGAGGGGATGACGCATTACAGAACAGCAGAACAACGCAGTCAGTTAATTTATAACTATGTGGTTGGTGCTTGGTTACTAGGGTAATGAGCTCAGTACAGAATGACAATGTTACTAATAACTATCTTTAAGTAACTATTTTTGTTAATTATCTTTTGATCAATTATTTTAATTTTTAGCATCTTAGTATAACATTCCCCACTGATTTTTGTCAGTGATCCAAATCATTGGCTCTTGGAATTTTCAAGCAGTGGTATTTGTTTATAAACTTGTGTCCTTAAAACCATGAGTTTTATTGTTTGAACCTGGTCTTTGACATAATTTACTAATCTGTTTATAATGCAAGGTCCAATTGTTAAACAAGTAAGTAAGATTAACAGAGGTCTGGAGGCTGCTATGATTAATGTTGTCAACCAGGGAGTTAGAGAAAACCATCGCTCAAACCAATTCTGTTCAGCTTGTCTGGCTTGTTCTTGATCCTGTAGCTGCCTTTTAAGGCTGGCCATACTTTGTCTGATAACCCCAGAATGATTGGCATACAAGCAACAATTTTTTCCTAATGCCAGACAGACGCCTCCATTTTTTAGGAACAGGAGATCTGGACCCCACCGGTTTTGTAAAACCATCTCAGTCAGTGAACTTAAAGAATCATCTAATTTGGAGACAGAGTCACTAAGGTCTGCTAAATCTTGGTCAATGAGTGCATGTAAGTGTCTATAATTTTGGTCTTTTGACTATCAGGCTGGACACTCTTAAACCTATTACCTTGTTATCTCAATCTTTAGTAATACAGGTAACAATACAGGATTTTTTTTGTTGTTGTTCTTACTGGACTCTTTAAGTCAAAGCTAGGGAACAAGTGACTCTACCATTATCGCTAGAGTACCAATACACTGGGGGTGAACAGATGATGCACGGAGCAAGGAGTTATATTAGAAGTACAGGCAAACCAGGCTCCATTGGGAGCAACAAGGTGTTGTTAGCAGGATAGTAAAAGTATAAATCAAAGCTGAAGAGGTAGGATTACAGAGTGCAGCATAAGGGGAAGTGTGCAAGGAGTAGGAGGCAGAGTAAACACAGGTTCCTGAAGCACCCTGTATATTGTCCAGTGTGAGCAGGGGCTTAGCATCCCACCAACAAAAGGTGTGTCTGTGCAGGAATTTAAAAGTTAATTTGTCATAAGCAATGTCCAGAGGCAAGAAGGGGCTAGAGATGTCACAGAAATCTCAGAGGGCAAAAAGGTCTCAGGAGCAGGAAGTCTAGTGGAGGAGAACAGAAGATTGGGTCTCCAGAGTGAGGAAAAAGGTAATGAATCCCTTTATTTTTTTGTCAAGGAAATGCAAATTTACAACCCCAATGTCTATTAAAGTATTTTATCTCTATGGACTGTGAACACCTATGATCAGAGGCTGGCTGTTGTTTTTGGGGACAAAGATACCAGCCAGTGGACTGTAATTTTTTTGAATACATAGGTCCCTGTAAGTCTCTATTAGCAACTGTTATAACTCGGGACCCCGGTATAAAATCCAAGGAGGCAAGAGACCAAAAATTTAGGTGGCAAAGGCTTTATTTCCAGGCCTGGCGACCAGTCTCTGGGAGCCAATTTGGAGACTGTCCCCCAGAGAATGAAGGGGAGGACTTTAAAAAGAGGCTGGAGGAAAAGGGGGGGGGCGGCAAAGAAACCTGCAGAGCCATCAAACTTGTTGACCCGAGTCTGGAAACTGTATTGCTGTCCACTTAGCTCTGACAATCTCGGGAGTTCCTGGTGTTTCTCAAATTACTCCCATCCTACAGACTGACATTATATCGGAGTGGCACATCTGTAGCAATATTTGGAGAAGGAAGTGGAGAAGTTAATTATCCCAGGACAGCTCATTTTCGCTAGTGGGTGCGAAGGGGTCAAGAGTTACAAGAAGCTGAAACTTAAGTTTTACAAAGGTCTGATATCTAACTCATTTGATGCATACAGAACAAAAGGAAAGCACTGATTGGGGTTTGGGCCATAGTATTTCCTGGTAATTTCTTTGAAGCTAAACAGTTCTTAAAATTGGGGTAGGCTCATTTTATGACAGATCACCACCAGGTCGGGAAGAGGTCACCAGAAACCCAAATTCTTTATGGCCTAGATAGATAGGTGAGGGGAGAGGGAGGCAATAAGGCGCCATACAGAACAGAAAACGGCGGTTATGTGTCAAGGTCAGGGTAAAGGGTTAAACTGATACGCAAATCTCTCTGGACACAAGCAGGTTAATTTAAACAAGTGTAAATTAATGGGCCATTCTAGTTTTCTTTAGCTCTTTAGCGGAGAATAGAAGCGCCTAACAGTGATTAACAACCCTTGTTAGCTTGTTTTAGCACAACTTCTGTAGTTTGTAGAGGACAACAATGGTTAACATATCAATTAGGTGAGATTCTTGCAATTCTTTACAGAGGAGAGTATTGCTCAACATATCAATTAGGTCACTTAACATATCAGTTAGGGAAAAAGGATAAAAAAAACACATTTAGTAAGCCACGTTGCAGGTTTGCTATAATACACATATAACGAAGCTATTTTCTTAGAGTACAACAGCAACCAATCAGACAGCATGACATGCAAACCCAACAACATTTTTTGTCTAATTTTTGCTGGGATGTTATCTACTAGGGAACATAAATCTATCTTAATTATCTCATAGACAGTAGCATTGACTACCAATAATTTACCAGTGAAATAGTCAGTAATTCTGAGTTTTAAACAGTGGGTTACAAGGTATCTCCTTGGGGTCTCTA